TTGGCAGGTCGCGCTGTTTGCTTTTTTGGTAACTCCCATAAGGTGCAGAAAACAAATTTTAATGCAGATTTTATGGAATGTTTATGAAATCCATGGGCACGTTTCACTGCATCAAAAGCACCATATTTAGATGAATAGCTGTGTTAAAGCACACGTGGCGGTAGAGCGGGTGACTGCCTGTCAAAGTGCTGAAATTGTGTTTTAAAATGAAACTGAAATCTGAGCTTTTCATTCCCAGACGGTGTTTTCAGCGTGCAATTGCGATGGGCTTTTGGGGGTGAGCAGGAGATGGTACCTGACAGCAGACCGGGACGTACCTGTGTTGAAACACAACAACGTTCTTTCCTCCTCTGCAAAGGCAGAGGCCAATGAGTCGTTTGTAAGATTTTTGCCGTGGCTCTGGCAGTGGATGAGGTGAGGGGCAGTGCTGGGCAGGGGGCTCCATAGTGCTGTGTTAGTGGGATCAAGGGTGGGTGTCAACGGGGCTTCCAAAATAAAGCCAATTTTGTAAAGACCAAGGCCAATGTTCTGTACTGACGTCGTGCAATTACATTTTAATATACCCAATTATAGTGGTCTGGATGTGCTCGTGAGGTGTGCACATTTTGCAGCACAAGTTTAAGGAGAAACTTTCTGCTCTCTTATTATTTGCAACAGCATCCTGATAACTACACAAAATTGGGAAGGTAATTAACAAAGAACGCTTTACCATGGTTTTGGGGGACTACTGTGTAATACAAAGGCAGTCATTTGAAGGGGGTGTTCCTGTGTCGCTGTTCTGTGCCCGGGCTGGTACCTGCCCTCGGGCTCACTTGTGGTGAAATAATGTATACACACCATCCATTGGCACACCATTATGTGGTATTATTTATTATGCTAAGGCTGCACATATAAAATCATATGCTAAAAGAAAAACTGAGAAAGAAAATGACATTTTTCCAAAATGAAAGTAGTGTTTCCATCAGCAATGTGCAGAGAATGTTCCAGTATTTTGAATTCCCATTGTAAGTATTCTTGTTCTGGGGCATGTTCCTTTTTTAGTCCCTGTTCATAGTGGGATTAATTGGCAATCATAATTTACCCTCATTAAAAGCCTTTTTATGTTGCATATTATCTGATCAAAGTCTTTTTACTTTCACTCAAATGATGCTTCCCACAGCAGTAAATGCGCCTCTTCACAGAGTTCTTCATGGCATGTCTAATGTTTGTTTCCTGAAATATTGCTAATTTTAAAGTGTGGAGTTTCCTGTGTAATCTGGGGATTTGGGGGAGATGTGGCAAGGGTTTCCCCACTAAGCTGAATAATTGATTTATGTTAAAATGATAGTGCTATAATATCTTTCCTTCTAAAGGAAAAAAAAATAGTTGTTTCTTTGCACTCTGTGTGTTTTGGGTTTTTTCCTAGCTCTGTGGGGTTTGAAGGAAGGTATCGTCTTATTTCTGTTCATAAAATCTCTATATTTTGCTGGAAAAAAGAAGTAATATACTACATTCTGATTTAAAACAAGGTAGTTCTTTGGTCTTGTCCAAGCCCTGTTGAACGGTGCTGTGATGAGACCTGTGCCTTCTTGTGAGCCACCAGGAAATCCAGACTTCTCTGCTTTCGGTGATTTCAGTTAATGGCACAGAGGTGTCACAGGATTTATTACTTATTTTTTTCCTCTTGTTTTCTTTTTTTTTTAAACTCTTTAACATGTTTTGGTTTTACTGTTCATTTCAGCACTGTATTTTTTTAACTTTTCTAGCCGTGAGATGTTTATACTGGGTGAGCCGAAGCCTTGGTCTTCTGGAATGTTCTTTTTAAAATGTAAATATTTTTTTCCAAGTTCAAAGAATGGTTATTCATATTATCTGGAAGGTAAACCAGAAATGAACACTACAATTAAATTAGTTTGCTTTCTGATAATCTGTTTGGTAATGTGTTCATTGCATAAGATTTGATAAAGTCTGAGTAAAAATGTTGCTGTTCCAATGGTAAAGCTCAGCCACAGGTGGGGAAGTTCTTTACTAAATACTGATTAGGTTTGTTTTCAAGGAATATTTGATTTTCCTGACCTTTTATGTCATTCTAATTTCATGTTATTTGAATTAAAATATCATCTTTTTTTATAGTACCTAAAATAGACTTTATTAGTTTTCCTGAAAGCTATGTGCAGCTTTGCTTTGGCCCATTTAAATATAGAAAACAGCAGGATTTGAGATTTTTCTTATAATCCTCAACTAATAGAGTTTAATGCTTTGTTTGGCCTACCCTACACAGCCTAAGCAAAAGTTTTAAACAAGATTAAAAATGTGCCCTTATTAACCTGCGGCATCTAAAGGCGCGGAGCAGCCTGCGGGGACGCGGGTCCCTCCTGCCCCGGTGCTGGTCCCCCCCTGCCCCCGGGAAACACCCGGGAGCCCACGGGGCTTCTGAGGGGCTTTGCCCGTCCTGCAGCACCCAGAGCAAGGGGAAAAAAGCCACGAGTCTGCTTCTAAGATGAAAGTTCAATCTCCATGGCTGGGGAAAGCAAAGCTCTGTTATTTCTGGACTCGGGAGGTGCAGCCCGGCCGGGATGCTCCGGGGCGGCTGTCCCTGCGCTGCGTTAGGCCCTGGGTCAAGGGGCTTCACCTGGCCCTTCCCGAGGAGAAGTTGGAGTGGAACATAAGCTGGTGGGTGGGCCATGGAGGAACATGTTGAGTTCCAGAAGAATAAAGTATCTCATTGTCATGGAACACTTGTGCTCAGCAAACCTTACAAAACACAAAGCGAGGTGGTGCCTTCGACTCCTGGTTCCCCCACACGCTGTGGGGCCACGAACACACCTGGGAGCAGGGCTCCCATGGGCTTCTTGGAAAGATGATGATGGTTCTCAGGCCGTTTGTTGACTTGGGGTTGTGCATCGCTCCCCATTCATGGTCACTTTGCAGCACTGCTGGTAGCGTGAGGATCGGGGGAGTTTGACCCAAACCTACAATGAAAGTCCCATGTTCCGTTGGGGGGGTTCAGGGAACTGTGCCCCTGTGCGATGCTGTGAGACACCTACCCGCAGGTGTGCCGGGGGAGAAGGTACTCCAGTTTGCTTAATGAAAAAAAAATAATTAGGAAAATCAGAAGACTTCCTAAACTTCTATCTTTGTAATGATGTTCCAAAACAAAGCAAAATCACTGAATTAATTCTTTACTTCTTTGCAAATACTGGTATCATGATTAACTTTATCAGTTGCCTTTTTGATCTTAACGGGGCAGAATCTGGATACACGTTCATGAAGATCAAGAACCAGCTGAAAATTGGAGGCAAAATGAAGCCAGAGAAATTGCTTACACTGTCAATGATAAACATTTCCTGCCTCATACCGTTATTTACATTTTTTAATAAGGGACATCATTTTTAAGAAACAGCAAGTGGCTGATGTTTTTTGCAGCCGTGTGTGCACAGGCAGAGACGGTTGGTACCGACCGTGGGTCTGGGAGTGTGCAAGGGAGAGTGTCTCAGGAGCCGGGGCAGTAGGAAGTGTGGAAGAAGAGAAGGAAGAGGGTGAAAAGGCCTCAGTTTTTCCTCTCTGCTCCTATCGGATTTCTTTTCCGTAGGTCAGTGCTTTGGCCCTCCCTTGGCTCGCTGCCCTCTTCCCACCCGCGGTGCCAGATGCCGTGGCAGAATCTGGTGCTCTCCAGGCACCGGTGCTCTGTGGGGAGACCAGGAGGTTGAGGGGGCCCCAGAATTTCCATCTCATTAGTGACGGGTTTATCTGCTTTCTGCGTCGAGTCTCACTGCCCGGCCCTGCCCCACGTCCTGAGAGTGTGGGGTGGTCGGGAGGGACCTTGGCAGAGCTCCGTGGTGGACACCATGTTGTCCCCAGCAAGGTGGCCTGGGGCTGCTGCTGCTGCTTCCCAGCTGGCTCTGATGGGCAGCGCGACGTGTGGCCCCACGGCTGGGGTTCCCTCACGCTGGCTTTTATAGAAGTTGCATTAATCTTGTGTTTGATAACCAAAATCCACCACCCCTGGACATCTGTGCCTGCCTTGCCCATTTTTTTCAGCCTGCCATTCCTCTGCGTTCCTAATTGGTGAATACGCTTTCGCTTTCGTTTTGGTTGTTGGTTGTGAGTAATTATAGGAAGGAAAAAGTGATACAAAGCCTTTGCAATAGGGGTGCTTAATTAACTCAATAAAATGAGGTTTTCGAGCCGTGGTCTGTAAACTGAAAGTGTGAGCACTACCTTTTAAAGGGTAAAAAAAGAAAACATAGTGTTGGTAGTTTCAGGTCTCTGGGATGCTGTGCTGGAAAATGTTAGCTTTGAGATTGAAAAAATTAAAAATAGTTGGTATAAATATACAGATAATGAAAGCGTTCTGTAAAAACAGTTTAATGAAGTCTAAAAGGTCACTTCAACAATTTAGGTGGATTTTTTTAGTATTTATGTGGCTAAGTTGGTTTATGTCAAAGTAGTAGTTTTATGCTGTGTATAGCAAGAAATTATTAATTTATTTTAGATTTTATGCCCAAACTGTTAGTTTGAATGTCTCTGTCAGGTTGTGTTCTCTGCTCTGGCTTTTTCTGCTATGACATCATTTCTGTGCTTTAATTTTTTTGTTCTTCAAGGTTCTTTGGTCTCCTTCCATTTGTTTCTACTTTTAATAACTTAACCATTTCTTTTTTCTCTGCTTGTTTCCAGTTTACACTTTTCTAACTCACTTCCACCTAGGTCTAGTGTTCTGCATTCAAATAAATCAAAGTCTGATTTTGCAGAAGGTCTTAGTCTTGATCTTAAGACCGCAGTGAGTTTTTATTTAAGGATCATTAGATACTGGCTTGGACACAAATAGATGGTTACTGTTTAAGTAGAAAAGTTGTGAGATGTGTAATCAAGTCTGCAGAAGTATTCAGTGACCAAGTGTGCTTTGGTCAATAGCAACAATACAGTTTTGATAAAATGCTTTTGAAGTTCATGTTCTGTTTCAAAAAGATATTCTGCTTTTATGATGTATAAACTTAATAATGTTTTTTTTTTTATTACAGGGAGAAGAAAATGAAAATTCAGGATATTAAAAACAATATTAAAGAAGCTATAGAGGTGAACTTCTGAGCTATATCTTTTAAGTATTCAACGCTGGGTATTTAGACGTTCTGCAATATTTATTACTTGTTTTCCTTGCAGACGATAGTGACCGCGATGGGCAACTTGGCACCTCCAGTTGAACTAGCCAACCGAGAGAACCAGTTTCGGATCGACTACATCTTAAATTTAGCTAACCAGATAGACTTTGATTTCCCACTGGTAAGTAAATATCTCAGATTGGCTGCAGTCATGCTTTTTTTTCAAATGATTATATTTCACTGCACTGTAGTAAATATTTACAAGAAGCGGTGAGCTGCTCTTTGGGAATGGCTCCAGCAGGTGTCCTTGGTCCTGCCCCGGAGGAGTGAGGGTGGGCACAGCGGGCAGTTACGATGAGCGGGCGTTGGGCCATGTTGTATTTCTCTCTTTTGGAGGAATAGTGGAGTTTTCTTGCTGGTCCAGGTGCGTTCTCAGGGAGCTGTGTCAGCCAGACCTGATGCAGAGGCTCCCCGTGCTCGGTCCTCCCCGGGTTAATCATTCCCAGTGCCAGCAGCCCCAGCGTAACCACAGAAAGCAGAATTATTTGTTTGATGGCATAATTTGGTGCCCAGTCACCCTGATTAGTTTGTGCTGTATCTCCATCAGACTAGTAGCAGAAGCCCATGAAAATACAGTTTGCAAACGCTGAACTCTTAAGCACTGAGAAGATCCTTTTATTAATGACCAGGAGGTACCTTACACTTGCAGCCTTCCAGGGCTGTTTCCAAGCCTGCACTCTCCCTGCACCGGTCCAAGGGGCGGATCAAAATCATGTCCATTTACACCAGAATTTTGTTTCCAGCAGCAGTCGGTCCCAGGTGCCTGAAAGGAAAGTACAAGTGCAGTTATAGTGAGAAGTGGGATCGTTTGCAGCACTGCGAGGTTTTCGTAACAGGGATTTATAAACATGATTGAACAAGCTGGTCTGTGAAACCAATGGCAGTTACCTTTGCTGCTGCTTCTGGGAATTTCTCTGCTCAGTCAGCCTTTATTAAAAGCAAAAATCAAACAACCAGACCCACAAACTTTGTATGCAAGCAGAAGTCGTGCTATTGGCAATTAATTGGAACTACTGGCATTGTAGTTTCCAAATGCAGTAATCTTGAAAGCTCAGCAGGCACAGACGGGTTCACAGAATCATAGACTCAGAGGCTGACAGAGAGGGGGATGTGAGACTCCTCTCTAGCCCATACAATGTAATATTAGTCTTTTTATCTTAAAGATTCTTAAATAGGTTAGAGAATTTGAGATTTTTAACTTGACACCTCTTAAATTCTGGCCCTTTTCAGCGTTATTCATAGGAATGTTTGGTCCCCTCGTGGATGGTCTCCTGCTGGGGGACAAAAAACCTGATGCTTTGAAGGCAGTTGGAGGAGAATATTCGAGAGAAAAGGCCGTGGCTCCGCTCTCCGCCCTGGAGCCCGGGGCTGGCCGGGTGCCCGCGGCTCTCCCGCTCCCATTGTTCTGGGACAGCTCAGGTTGTGATCTCTAACAATGCTCTCAGAGTTCCTGCCACCTACCTCCTGCTGAAATTCTTGGGTTTCCTTGTCTCTTCTGTCTCAGAGAGGTTTGTTCTTCCATTCAATTGGAGTGAGGTGATTATTTTTTTATTTTTTTCCCCCTCTGAACGCAAGGGGTAATTGTGTAGCGGTAAGTGGGTAAGTCATGTGTGTATGTGTGACATTAACCATTTTTTATATAAAAATTACTATTCATTACGTATTATCTCTGGTAGGATACGTGGTAGCAAGCCCGTGCTGTCTAAAGCAATGGAAATACACTTACCAGACCTGTAAATAATTTCAAGTTAATTGAAGAGTGTTTGATGTGTTGAGTGACACACAGCGTCAGGAATAACAGTGCTCCAATAAAACTAGTTTTTCTTCTCTGAGCAAAGGTATTGTGTTAAATTTTTAAGCCCTGAATCTACAGAGCTTTAGGCTGGCTTCCTTGCCATGATTAACTGTTTCATATGTAAATGTTTGTAGGGTTGAGGTTTGAGACTGGATATACATTACCCACTAATTCTGCAGGAGTATTGCTGGCTCCCTCTGCCCTCGGGGACGATGTACACTGGTTTGTACCTGATGGCTCTTTGTCTGAATGCAGGGTATAGCCCCTTGGTATCTGGAAAACAACCTGCATTTCAATTACATATTTTAAATCAAGTTAAGATCTAGAATGTCCCTAGATGCCGACTCTCAGTGTATAGTATCAAAAATATGTGCTTGTTGGGTTCCTCTATAAAAATAATTTTGACTTTTATAGTTTAATTAAAACTTTGAAGAAGAAATAATTTTCTGTAAGTGGAAAGGATAGCCTTATGCTAGTTACACTTTATGTCTAAGGAAATCTTAGGTCTTATATCCTGTTATAACCTGCTTTCTCCTCCAGTGCTGTGGTGGGAGAATTTAATAAGCTGGCAGCTAAACCCTGTCCTATAGAGCGTGTCAATGCAGAAGGGAGGGAGGTTTTAGCAATATTAGCGGTACGTAATGCTGTCTGGCTTGAGCTGCAGAACCTGCTTTCTGTCTCTTCTGTTTTCTCCATGGGGAAGCCGTTCAGCTGTTGGGGAGCCAGGCTTTCCTCAGGAGAGTGTTTGATGCTGCTCCTCTCTGCCATAGGAAGAACTTGAAGGTAGGGAGGAAGAACACTCGTGTGCTGAGGAGTGTTCCTTAGGGCTGTCAGTCCTTGGCACCGTACTCTATGAACATACAAGGGCATTTTGCTTCCCCTTAAATGCCCTTTCATTTTTTCCTAAACATCAATTTAGCGGACTCTGCAGAAGGCAGCGCTCAGAGTTAGCACTAGGGTTGTGTCACTTCTGCAGCCACTGGAGATCATCTGTAGAACATGAGGCCTCAGCCTTCTTCTGTACATGGAGTCGTTTGAATGAAGTTTAAAGCGCACACCAAAATGCGTGTTTATCATTACCTGTGGTACAGGTGGAGCTGGAATTTAGGTTTCCTTACAGTGAAAATTGGTGTTATGTGAGAGGCGGAGGAGCTTTGCAGAGTGATGGCCGTGTAGGGCTCTGGCCCTGTATATCTAGGATTTGAGGAGCAGCTTTGGTATTCCGATATTATTATAATTCTTTTCGTAGGCTTTGTCTCCGTGTGTTTGCTTTGCAGTTTTTGACTTACAGGAACTGTGGGTCACTCGTGTAAAGTATATTGTATCGAATTTAAAAAAGAAGAAAAAAACGACTTGAGTTAAAAATACTGCTGGTATGGTGCCATGTTGGTTAAACCTTCCCTCTGAAACTGAAAAATTAGTAAGTCGGAGATTTATTAATTCAGCATGCTTGATACTAAGCAATTAGATTTCTTGAAAACAAATAGTAGCAGATGGGGAAAAGAGAAGGGTAGTACTTACTGAACGGAATTCTGTCCACAAACTCATGCTGGTGATTTAAAGTATTGCAATATTTAGTAGATAAATCTGCAGTCCCTTTTGCAGTCCTTCCGTGTTGTTTCACCACCCTGTGCGTGCCCTTGGCAGGAGCCCAGCAGAGTTTCCCTCTCACAGCCCATGGTCCGGTTTCCCTTGTCTTGTCTTTGGTGTGTTTTCAACAGCCAGTTTCTGAAATACAAAAAGGAACCCAAAACTGTGACAGAAGTGGATTGATAAAGGCAACATAACCACAATGAACCTGGGGAGAATGCTAATTAGTGATATTCTAGGCAAAACAACTAAGTTCATGGTTTTATGTGAAGTATTTTCTGCCTCAGCACACTGCAGAGTTCTGACACAGCTGGAGGAATGGTGTCTCCGTGGTTAATGGCGTGCTGCTCTGCTTTAGTTCTGCAAAATACTCTGCTGCTTTTGAGGGTGAAATCTGTCCTTGTTATTCCTGGGCTTGTTGCACAGCCTTTCCTTAGAGCAGGTCGATGTAAGCTATTGCTGTGTTATGAGTAGCACTGATAAATACCGTGTGTAGTATCTGACGTGCATCATTGGGAAACATTCTTACTAAAATGTCAGGACATTAAATGACTGAAGTCTTGGAAAAAAGTCTGGCCTTGCTGGTTTGGGTGAGCCCTGAGAATCACCCAGATCACGCTTTCCCCAGAGAAGAACTGAAAGAGAACTCTGTCTTTTCTAAAACACTACAGTACCAATTTTTATGAAAGATTATCATTTAAGGAGGTCCATTATTGCCTTTATTCAAGTGAAGTTTTTATCATGCAATTGTCACTGGCCAGCATGATTACTTTAAGCAAAGGGAAAGGAAGTTGAAGTAAGGGAACCTCCAAGTTAATCAAACCCAGCTCGGCTGAGATAGCTGAAGCATTTAATTTTAATGATCGAGGTGATTGTAGGAATCTTTCTGTGTCGATGTATTGGTACAGATCTGATGGTGCATGTGTAGTTACTGCTGCTGGGCTTGTATTTTAAGATTATATCACAATAAATAGTATTTTTTAAAGAGAAGAAATTTTTAACTTGGGAAAGTTAATGTCGTTAACAAAAAGGAATGGGGATGTTACAGGCAGTGCAGCAGAGTGATGGGACACTAGATCCTCTGGAAGAATCTTTAATTCCTCTTTCTTAAATCTCCACCATCTTATCTACACAGAGCAGCTCCTTCTCGATGGGCTTCTAGATAATCCAATTGAATTTACCCGATCAGCATTTAACAGGACTTAAAGCTATTTTTCTGATCTGTTAATGGCAGAAATAAATTCCTGAACACAGATTAATTAAAGAGTTCTTTTGAAGCCGCCTTTCAGTATAGGGACCCTGAGGTAGGAAGCCACTTGACTTCATTTCTGTTTCTTGTAATTAAAACATGTATAACTTATTTGCAGATGAATCTCCTGAAATCTCTGATTTTTGTCCACGTGGGTAATGCCTGAGATGAATGTTTTATTTGTATGAATGAAGAGGATAATCTGGCAAAGGCAGTGGGCTTGTTACAGCTGAACTAAAGCTCGGGTGCTGCGGGCTGAAGCTCAGTTAAAAGAAATCCCTTCCAATAAATAGGTTAGCGGTGTCACAATGTTGATTTTTCTATTGTCCCTCTTTTCTCAAATACAGGTTAAGTCTCCCTTAGTTTTCACTTTGGTTTAGAGTTTCTTTTCTTCCCAAGTTTTAATTTGTAGGAAAAAGCTTGAGAATCTGTTTTTCTGAAGAAAACAGAAAATTGTCAACAGCGACACCTCTAGAGGAGGAAATCCATGAGCTGTTAGGCCTGCGTTCGGCTCGGCCAGTCTTTCAGGAGAGCAGTGCTGTTACAGCCCCGTGGGTTAAACAGCCTGAACAGTGAGCACAGGGCTGTTTCAGAAAGAAAAGAAAAATAGGCAGTCTTCCTTCTGTGAACAGAAATGAGATGAAATGTAAAAGCTAAGCAGCCTTACTAATTAGCATTGCATTTCCATGTGGTGATTAGTCTCTGGATGTGTTTGGGATTTGGTGCTGCACCGGGTTCTTGCCCCGAGCCGGGAAAATGGGGGTGCTCTTATTTCTGCTTCAGATTGTTACTTGCTGTAAAATAAAACACATCCTGTGGCTGAAGTGAAGCTATTTTTGGCTAGAAAATTAAAGGAATGTCCCACTGAATCCTGCACTGAGGTGTTCGTGTAGTTCTTGTGAAATCCTATCAAGTATTTCCTTAAATTGGAGAATTGCCTCAGACAGTGGCATTATCTGCAGAGCTTTTCTGTAGTGCGGTTGTTTTTATAGTGCAAATCCCCACTCTATATTTTGTTTTATTATTCATTTATTTGATTAGTATTTGAAGTAAATGCTGATGCTCTATTCTGTATTTGTATTTTTATCCAGTCAATTCCTACCATGCCATATTTATAGGGTCACAGGTTCACTTGTAGAAATTCATTTGAAGAAATCGTGACTTAATTTCTCTTGATGCATCTTCTTTGTTTTCCTCAGAGCAGTCTTGAAGAACAAGGGCAGATTAATTCAATTTATGTTGAAATAGAAGAGCTGTCAGCTGAATCAAACAGGAAATAGGCATAAATTTAATATAGAAATTCTTAAGCATTTTCTGGTTTTAATCACAGTAAGAGACTATCACAAAATCTCGGTGTACACAGAGATGAAGTAAAGTTTTGCCTGTGAGCCTGCCCGGCCTCGCAGCGCCGGGGGAGTGTTCTGCTGGGTGCTGTGGGGAGGGGAAGCAACACCTAAGGGTGTTAATTGCCCCGGGGACGTGCTTTTTGGGTGAACAGTAAAAAGTGCCTTTGGGCATAAAAATCCTGTAATGTACAAAGACATGGAAATGTGATGGTAAACGTGTTTCTAAAAAATCATGACTTTGTTGTTTTAATGTAATTTACATCCCGTGTCAGATGAGCCAGGGATGAACCTGGATGAGCATGGAAGTGGCTAAAAAGAAAAAAATGAAAATTATTGTGATCTGTCTTACATTTTGGCTACATGTACACCTATGCTCTGAAGAAGCAAAGAACCATTGATTACTCGGTTTAAAATTGCAGAGGAATGTTGATGAAATGGGGAGTAGGGTCCCCGTCTGCCAACTTCTGTCTCAGTGTCCCTGAAGGCGAGTTCTTCCTCCCCAGTGAGCGTGATGTGAGAAAGGATTAAACCTGAGCAGTGCTCTGGTACGGCCAGAGTAAGCTTCTGTGGCATTAAACTTCCTGTGAAAGCAGAAATAAAAGAGAAATGGTGTGATATTGTGCTAGTGAGGCCTATTCACCAAAGGCACTTTGTAGATTATGGGTATGGAATTGTATCTTGGCACATTTCTCAAATACTGTGGAGTTTTGAAACCCTTAACAAAGGGGAAAAATGAAAGTTCAAACTTCACTGGAGTTAAATGAAACTGCCTTCCTGTTGTCCATTCCCCGCAGCCACATTCGGTTTAATTTGTGCTGCTAAAAATGTGAAGATACGGTAAGCAGAACCCCAGAATATTTCAGCATCGTGCTTAGACAAGAAAAACTCTGGGTGTTGTGAGTCCTGGCTGGGCCGGGAAGCGCCCGGCCTCTCCCCAGCGCTGTGCTCAGCCCGGGCCGGGCGCCAGGCCCCGAGAATGTCTTCAGCTATTTGTAGGTATGTGTTTCCTCTGTGATATCATCGCCGTATTTGCCCTAAAATAGCAAGCAATAATTAACACTTGTTCACACCATTAGGAATGCAGATGTTTCCCTATTCAAGTAAGTGGATTATTAAACTGTCTGATTTGACAAATTTAACACCTTCTGGTGTCCCTGCCCAGCCCGGGGACAATGAGGAGGTGCCATCCGTCTCCTTCTGGGTGGCCATACCTGCAACAACCATCGCTTGATTTGAGGTATAAGCAGTGAAAAGCAAATCAGTTTGCCATGTATTTGCCTATCCTGGAAGGAGAAATCAACCTGTGGAGTTTATCTTGGAGAGCGCGGCGCTGCCCTGCGGCCTGTGCCCTTGCCGTGTGTCAGAGCAGTGCGGTGGAACGGCCGGGGACAGGGTGTCCGTCTGTCCCACCTCCTGAGGGGCTCGGAAAGGGGCTCCCCACCAGCGGTCACTGCTGCTGCTGGACACTGAACACGTTGGGAAGCAAATGTCCCCCCAGATCCAGTTTTATGGTTAGGAGCTGGTTGGGTTTGACCTTTAATCATTAGGTTTATAAGTGGCTGACCTATTTAAAACTCTTCTTATGAAACGTGCAGCTCCATGGGACAGTGAACTTTGCCCGGGAACTGAATCCCAGCTTTAACCACAACATTGTGTAACGGTTGTACACACCTTTTAGTAGGTAAGGGTTTTTTTTCAATGGCATTGACTTTTGCTGGAATCAGTAAATATGCTGTTCTAAGGACAGATCCACCCTGTATTATCTTTACAGAGAGCAGGTAATGTTGCGTGTCCATGCTAGGGTTCCTGTGAACATGGTGTCACAGTGGCAAGAACTGTGCCAACGTTTTTCCCTGCCAACATCTTAATACCTACAAAACATTGCTGCATAAACATTTTTTTAAAAGTCTCTAGAGTATTTATATATCTGAGGGAACAAAACCTTGTAGACAGTATGTCCAGTTTTTCTCTTTCATTTTCTACTGATACTTTATGCTTTCAGAATGCCTCTCCAAAGCTGAGCTTGGTTCCTTATTTTTTCCCAGGCCTGCAGTGTCTCTTGAGGATATTTTTTTTTTTAACAACCAAAACACTCAACTTCCAAGTTCTTTAACACTTTCTCTGGTTTTATGTCTCACAAAACCACTGTTTACCTGCTGCCACTTACCCAATTTGTTGAAATTTTCTAATAGGAGTGGATTTTTTAAACTTGATTAGACTCTGTATGGCCCCTCCTCTAACGCAGAGTGGTGTCAGTAAGATCTTTCTGGAACAAGGCACTGTTCTCCAGGCATCCCTTGTACGTGGGGAGGAGCGATGGGGATGTTCTCTGGGGGTCTGGGTGGATGGCTGGCAGTGAACACACACCAGTTACATGTGTCCTCTGTTGACTCAGTGTATTGGGAAACTTTCAGCAGGTGGAGAAAGTGTCTTACAGTAAACAAAACATTAATACTGAGATATGTTTCTTTTCACATAAATAGGACTTTCTAAGTACTGCGGGGTTGGGGCGTGGTGAGAGATGAGGCTCGTGGCCATCGGCCTCTCATGGGCCCTGGTATTGCGGTTTCCCAGGTGTGACTGGAGAGGGTTTTGACCCGGACAGTGGGTTTTCTCAGCACTTTGAAAAGTGCAGAGTCTGGTCTGGGGGTAAGAAAATGCTACAGTGGTGACACAATTCCTGGGGAGGTTTCACCTCTCTCCTCGGGGATGCCCTGCTCCCGTCGCCCGGGCTCCTGTGGCTGTGCTCAGCTTCAGCTGGGGCTCTCACGAGGTCTCGGGGGGGCTGTGTAACTGCAGGGGTTTTTCTTAATGGAAAATTACATAACTTGAATATTTTTTTCAGTTTTAAGTGTGCATAGGTCAAGAATGGATAATATGACTGCACTTTGCAAACGCGATGGATCGTTTGGAACCTAACATTTAAATCTTGTGTATTGTGGGATGGCATCTCAATCCAAATTGTTACTTAGTATTATTTGTTTATTTTAGCTGTTTTGTTAGGAGTTCTGGTTTACAGTGCAAGAGAAGCCTGTGTCAGTGCTGCTGTAGGGTCTGGTATATTAGAATGTGCCAGCAAATGAATCAGTGGTACAGAAACAAGAACCAGACATGTAAGGACTAGTTTTCTGGCTATTTCTTTTCAGGAAATTTGCCTGCTACTTTTGGTTAATTTGTTTCCTAACTCATTATTTTTAGAGATCTCATACAAATTAGACCTACTTAACTAAAAAAAACCAACCACCCTGTTGCTAACCCGACTTTTTTTTAGTGGCCTCTGAAGCCCCTGCTTTACCTAAATATATAGCAAATCTTGTGGTTTTACTTGCCTTCCCTGAGAGTAGCCCCAGGCTACGTTCCATGACTCAAATGGGATGCTGAGGATTTCTTATGTTATTCTTTTTCTTAAATACTATTTCAGAGTTGTGGTTAGTGTAGGTGTATTGGGGAGGAGGGAGAATCTAGTTTTTTGCAACTAACTACTATGTCTTAATTCCAAAGTCAGTCCGTGGCAGCAGTAGGTGTCGAGCACTGAAAACGTGGTCTGGCTTTGTATCACTCTGTTTCTTCTGTAGCTCAATGTCCTTCTACACCATAAAAGAAAAAATTCTGCGAATACTTTGAGTTAAGTGATAGAGGGTTAAGTGAGGTGCAAATGTCCATATAATCCCCAAAGATCATCAGGACCTTGAAAAGTCAAGTAAAACCTAATCGTTTGCTACCTGATGTAGGAATTACTGAGAAGTAGTGTTGCATTGAAGAAACAAAATAGAATTTTGACAGCGTGAACATAACGTGCAGTGAAATCATGAGTTAAAGAACAAATGGTACGAAATAGCATTGATTGTTAAAAATGCCAATTAACCCTTCTTTCAGTATGTAGTTGGACTCAATCAAAATGATTGAGAATCAGTTACGTTACCATCTGCCAATTCTCTTCACATATAATCCATGTTGTTAATACTATTTTCATTCTTTCAGGAGTTTTATGAACACACAAAAACACTTTGGCAAGACGAAGGTGTGAAGGCCTGCTATGAGAGATCTAATGAGTATCAGCTGATTGACTGTGCGCAGTAGTAAGTATTGTCTCTGCTGTATTGACTGCAACACACACAGCTTTTTATTGAACGTTCATGGCGGTGATTTGGTTGGTCCTGATGCTTGCTTTTCCTTACCTTGGGAGTGTATGCTACGTGGTGAATTCTTGGCAATCAGTTCTTTAGAGAGGTAGGAGAACCCAGCGTTCAGTTAGACACGAATATCTGTAGGGAAACCCTTGCAGGTGCTTTCTTACGAGAGGCGACACCTTGATGCGCTGGACAATCGTATTGTCTCAAACACTGAATTGCCTGCTGCTTCCACTTAACCCAGTCCTTCCCAAATGACAGCCACAGGCACTGCAGTAAGTTCAGGAAGCTGGGACGTGCTTTGGGATGAAACCTGCCCATGTTTGTAGCTTTTTGGTTTCAGAGCAGTTTATTTCCCTGAAAAAAAGAGAGATGCAGCAGCGATCCCAGGCAGCAGCCTGTGATCCGTCAGCAGGTCCCTGCTGGTGTGCCCTCACGCACGGATCCGAGCCTGATTCATTCTCCTCTGCTATTTATACCCCTGTGATAATTAGTGTTGTCATGAGAGACTGCTGCGTGTTTGCAGTTATTTATCACATATAGCAATATACTGGGGTTCAGAATCCATTATGGCAAGATGTTTGTGATAATTGTGACCGCTCCTGCTATTCTTGTTGTGTATACTCAAGAATTGCAGGATTTAAATTTAGAATATTAATGGTTAAAACTGTTGTTTGTTAGCTTATACTCTCTCTACTTCTTTTGGAGAAGCTGAAATAAGGTTTAATGGTCAACAGAAGGCAGGTTTCTCATTTCGCATGATGATGAACAACGGCAGTTTGTCTACTACTGCATCTCTTTTTGATGAAATAGAACTTGTGAGGTTCTTTGTTTAGGTAGACTTAAAGCTAAATCAACAATTAGCTCTGGTTGAAAAGAGACCAGGGAGATGGTTTTACTATGACTTGCGCAGCTCCAAGTTTTCGGGAACCTCTTTGAAGTGTTGCCATTGTTTCTGGTGGGGGTTTGATGAGCAGCGATGTCTCTTGCATCAGGTTGGTCCTTTGGCACAGATCCTTCTGCAAGTTAGTTGCTACAAAATAAAAAACACTACAAGATTCTCATTTTCTGTCAACTATCCAGTAAATTTTGTCTTTCTAGTGTAAAGCTGATAGAAATGGGGGGAGAAAACTAGTTCTGTTTCTGATAATGCTTGGTGACCTGTTTCTGTCTGGTTAGTGGTTGTCAGTAGTCAACGCCCATGAAGGGAAGAAGCAAGTGTTGGTAGGGGCTGAGGCGGGTTGGTGATGCCTTTTCTTGGAAGAGGAACAAATTCTGTTCTGCCCTGAGTGCACAGAAGAAAGCTAAAATTCTTCTCATCCTGGATTGCTGGGCATTGACTTTTTCATGGGTCAGCAAGAGGATGGCCGTCATGATGGTTCTACCGTCCTGCTCCATCTAGTGGAACACTTAATTCTACATCATGGGCTCTTGAGCCAAAAATAAACCTTGAACATTGCTGACAGATTACAGTTATTTTTTTTCTAAGATACCGTTTGCTGTCTCCTTCTAAAAATATTTAATAATTCTAATATTTATTCAATTTTATAGTAAAGTATATCACGTTCTTTTCTTGCAGAATGTGCTTTCTAATTGTTAGTTTGGCTGGTTCTTGTCCATTCTGGCAGTTTTGGTCATGCAGGGGTGATGGTTTTAGTAATAGAATATGCAAAGTAAGAGTTTTTAACGGCAAAATGTTTGCTCAGAGGTTAGCGTCACTTTGAAATTCTGAATTTGTTTTATCATATTCAGCTTTCAAGAGAGCTGACAAAAACTGCTTCCTGTAAAACCTGGCATGATTGATACCTGGAAATGAACCTGGTGAGCGCACTCTGAAAAAAATACAGCAAAGGCAAAGTGTAAAATGTAGCTGAGATTTATCAAGAGGCGACTGTTCTAATTTGATTGTGCAAGTTACTGTCATTAGGGCTAATCGAAGCTAAAAGAGAAAGTGGAGCAAACTGTGGTGGAGTTGCCATTTCTTTCCGAGAAGAATCTTGGGTTCTAAACACTTTGCCCTTTTGAAGTCCCTGTCTAAAACAAGAAAGTCATGTTTCGAATGGAAGGCAGAAAAGTGGCTTTTCTCTTTCAAGATCAGTCCAGCTTCCAAAAATCCCTTCTTGCTCTTGAAGTTGACTAAGTTCTTAAATATTAACGTATTCTTTGTTCAGTGAATTACTTTAAAATTCTGAACAATGTTAAATTAACATTTATAATTGTAAAATTTTTAATTTTTTTTAAACAGTAATTTTTTGAAGTGTGAGTTGCTTAGTGTAAACTTTGTCTCAGTATGGGTTCATTTAACATTATGCATTTTTTTTTAAAAGGATGGTTTTTGTCACTCTTGGAAGTGACATGGTTATATACAGGAAGCTTTGCAAGGAGGTTCTGCAAACGTGTCCTGTCTCTGAGCGGGGAGCAGCTGGGAGTGTGAGTCTCACAGGGCTCTGTTTGGTGGTTGGAAATGCTGATATCAGAGTCATAGAATCACAGGATGGTTTGGGTTGAAGGGACATTAAAGCCCCCCCAGTGCGACCCCCTGCCCTGGGCAGGGACACCTCCCACCACACCAGGTTGCTCCAAGCCCCCTCCAACCTGCTCTTGAACCCCTCCAGGGATGGGGCAGCCACAGCTTCTCTGGGCAACCTGGGCCAGGCTCTCACCACCCTCACACCAAAGAATTTCTTCCCCAGATCCCATCTCCATCTCCCCTCTTTCAGGGTCAAACCCTTTCCCCTCATCCTATGGCTCCCCTCCCTGATCCAGAGTCCCTCCCCATCTCTCCTGGAGCCCCTTGAGGGACTGGAAGGGGCTCCAAGGTCTCCCCGGAGCCTTCTCTTCTCCAGGCTGAACCCCCCAACTCTCTCAGCCCCCCCTCCCAGCAGAGGGGCTCCAAAGCCAGGGCTCCTGGCCAGTGGCCACCTCTGCTGAGAGCCCTCCTGGAGTCTTGCCCCATCTCCCCATCTCAGTGGTTCCCTCACAGCGTCCCTTCGAAGGGACCTGGGCTCTCCCTGGGCATCCGGGGCAGCCTCGAGGGGCTGAGAGGAACAGAGGCTGCTTCCCTTTTCTTAGCTGGACTAAGTAACTAGTTTCAGTTCTGCTTTTAGAAGAACATGGGCTGTGTGGTTGTCACCAGTGTCTCTCTGAGAGGAATGTGTTGTAGCTGGGAGGAGGGAGCCTTCGTTCTCTATGGGGAGACCACCTTTCATTCTCCTGCATCCCGGGTCCTGTCCCTGCCGTGGCAGGGAAGGAGCACAGGCAGGGAGAGATCCTGGTCCAGAGCCGCCCCGATAGCCTGAAACTGTGCCAGACTGCTGCAGGAGAGCTTCAGGAGAAGAATTTTTTTAAGATGTTTCTTTTTAAAATACTTATCAAAGGAAGGGGGGACTGGGGGGACATGCAGCTATTAGCCCACTGCTGGGCAGGGCTGCTGAAGGGCCAGCAGGTGTGGACGCACTGTTTTCGTAATTTCTAATTTGTTATGGGTTGTAAATTCTTTGTATTTTTATTAAGATTTATGGTGTGTTTTATTTCTGGATTTGCTGACTTTAAGAGAGCAATTAAGAGCCCCAGTCTGAGCACTTAATGATTTTCTTCCATGTTGATTTCACTTCACAACAAAGTTCCCTTCATGGAACATGCAGCAAAGTCTGTTTGCTGAAAGTCTCACCTTTTTAAATAGTGGCTGATTTATCAGTGGTGGTACTGTTAGTCTAGTTTCTTATCCATATTATTTATTACTTTTTTTCCCCCTTTTTCCTTTCTTTCCACTGGCTGTGAGTTTGGCAGAGCGGTTGCTCCTGTCTCCTCCGGCCCTGCGAGCGATGTCTGTGTGCTCCCATTCAGCAGGACAGGAATTTCCCTGGCCTATATTCCTGGCACACACAAGCTTCTTACGGACATTAACAATTATATTGTTAAACATTCCCATGAGGAAGAATAATATCCATGTCCCCTTTGGCTGATCTAACACTGATGTGCTTGCCTACTGCTGTGTGAGGTCCTGGGCAGCCCAGGGGACAGACCCGGATCCTCCAGCCTTAGTCTTGATGAGAAACCCACCCAATGATATTCCAGAGCACTTAGAACTGAATTAGGGTCTTCTCCCAACTCTTCTTCAGCCTGAGGGAACAGAGGATCATGTTTTAAACAAGATTAAATTTCAATTTTTGTTCCCTGCAGTCCAGTGGGGTACTGGGCACAGAAGCAGGATGGAGGTGCTGGGGAGCACAGTAACTCCTCTCTTTGTCTGCCTTCAGGGAAATCACTACGGACAAAATGAATCTAAACATATAAGTAGCTGAATTACACCAAACTGCTCGTGCGTCTGCCCTTTCTTGCTGACTGGCGATGGCAGGGATGTGCCTGCTGCCAAGTGCTGTGAAAACCAGATTACCTAAATTTAGCCAATAAATGGATTATGAACCCAACACATGTTCCCACTGTTGTCACAGCTAATCATAAATACATAATTCCAAGCTACGCTCAACCCAAGATAAACTTCTCTGTCTTCAAAATAGATTACATCCCAATATGAAGCAAGGTAAAACAGAAGGTGTCCTGGAGTACTTGCTTGAGCTTTACGGATTAGGAGCATCAGTAAGTGAAAAGACAAGAGGTGATGAGCCCTCGTGGCGTGTGTGTGTTGGGCTGTGATTGGAAGGATGCAGTAGGACACAGAAGGAAGAGGGGCAGCAGACAGGCACAGGGGTTGGCAGCCTTCCCCGGGAATCCCTCCCGCTGGTGCAAAATTCAGGCGAGCTAGAAATAAACACTTGAGGAAACGAGGAGTTTGGGGCCGATGGCATCACTTCTGGGTTCCCTATGTCCAAGCCTGTGCCCGGTGGGTTTGGCACCGCGGTGCAGGGTGATGGCACGGGGCCCGGCAGAGAGGACTTGCTGGGGTGCCCATGGCCACCGACAGGAGCCGGTGTGAGCTGAGGGTTTGG